TCTCCCTCTCCATCACTGCGAGGTGGAAAGCATTGTGAACCAGCACTGTTCTGCATTACTGGGCACAGAGCACGAACTGTTTAATGTCTCAGTAAACTGTCAAAACTACACTACTTTAAGACTAATTTACAGAATATTCTCTATTACTACTGTGAGAAATACAACCCAACTGTGTCAGCTAGTAGTACTCTCCTAATTTAAACCACAGATTCAACAGGCATGGAGCTGTAATGAACCATCTCCTGCCCAAAATAGCAGCTCATTGTGTGCTATAGAACTGCTTTCACAGTTGAGGTCATGGTGATGCAGTTTTCCCCAGTAACAGAAACGTTTGCAGTGCTCTCCTCCTCCTGTCCACCTCCCCGCCCACTTCAAGAATCAAGCGCACCCCCACATAGCCGCCCCCCCCTCTATAGCCGAGGATCTGGGTCTAGCATGGTATCACAGTAACCATGGAGGGAAAAAAAAACACATCTATTTTAATCAGGCCAGGGTTGCCGCTGCTGATCTCGCTGTTGCCTAATTTGCGTGGCATCTTGTTCAAATAGGCTCACACGGTCTGTGTGTGTGTGTTCGTTCAGGCCTGGTGAGAAGCTGAGAATGAGACAGTGGTGGTGGTGCTGCTGGTGGGTGTATTGTGTGTGGAGTGTGTGCGCATTATAAGCACTTCTGATTCACCAGTTTCCCCCCAAAGGCCATTTTTCCACAGCAGGCTGGAATTCAGGGAATGCATCTCTTTCAATAACTTGTTTCATGATTAAATTTAATATTTCGTGCACAGGTTAATTTTATTTACATATCGCCAGCTCACAACCACTGTTTTATGGAGCCTTCTTATTATAAATCTCTACAACAGAGAGAGAACCCCAACCATCAAACTACTGATGGAAGGAGAAGCTCCCTTTAACAGGTAGAGCACCAGCAGAACCAGGCTCAGGGAGGGGCCGTCACCAGTGGAGGGTGTGAAGCACAGAAAATATTGCCATTTTTTTTCCTTTTAATGTTAAACACACATTTAAAAAAAAAAAAAAAACAAACAATAGATTTAAAAAAATATAAGTAATTGGGGCCAAAAAGGAAATGCTAAAATTTCTTCAACAAGCACCAACCAAAGAAAATATAAACCAACCAAGTAGTGTCTAAAAGCTGCACTACTAATGGTCAGCAGGGGACAACTGCTCTTACTGCAAAAAATAAAAATTAAAAGCAACAAAAACAAGACTATGGGGGGGGAAGCCCTCACCTTACTCTGACCTCTGACATTGAGGTCATGAGCTCCAGCACCAGTCACAGTCTTAGAGTAAAGCAAAGTTTATTTTCTAAATTCTGGTCAATATTAGAGCCAATAAGGAGAATTATGAGGGTAAGTCCACTGCCTAACTACTTGTCACTCAAATGGTTAACCAGTGATTGTGCTGCATCCACGATTTCAAAGAGCTTGCTGAAAGGATTCTCTCTCTCGATTGGCCTGGGAACTCCTTAGGGATCTCCAGGAGGAAAGTCTGGAAAACCCTGATGTTCCCACAACATTACTTCAGATAAGTGGATAAAACTGATCAAAAGATACACATGGGGTTTTTTAGGCTTCTTAAAGGGACTGATACATTTATAAATTACTGAATTCTTACTACAATGTAGCCATTTTCACACAAAATTACTAGTTTGATCGATTCAACTGTGCAATAACCCCTACAGCACAGCATTTAATGCTTTTTATTATACATAATGGTGAATCTGGGTCTGTTGAGCAAACTCAAGATGTAACTGATCCGTGCATTTCACTTCATGTTCAGAGTTTCTACCAGTGTGCTGCATACTGCCAGGCCTAAGGGACTAACAGATTTTTCAATTTGTAAGACATGTCTATAGACACAAGTTAGAGTACAATGTTAAAAAAAACTGCACATGTGATACTGCAGCTGCTCAATTCTGTAAAGGTAACGGGTATTGTTCAACACCTGACCTTGAGGTTAGGAAACAACTGATGTCATCCAACAGTGATGAAGCTTAATGCAAGTTGCATGAGGACAAAGAGATGCCATCTTTGAGCAAGTGGCATGAAGGCAAAACTATAGGACAAACATCTTGTTTTCCTGGACTTGAGACTTTACAGCCTTAAATAAAAGCACTTTAAATAGCTTAAGAACATGATGTGATGCCATAAAGACCTGTTAAAAGTTGGGGGCGGGGGGCAAGTTCAAAAGCCAATGAAAGCATCAATATTCACATCCCCCACATGTTTAAATGTTAATTGCGAGATTGACTGTCATGTTCTTATTAGCTGTTAATAGCTTATGTGTGTGCTTCTGATTAGCTTACCACATTACTAGGACAAAGTTTGGGGTTCGGGCAGGTTTCAGACAAGTTTCAGGCCTTTGGAAATGAATCATTTAGGGGTTCTGCCCAGATTCCTAAACTTTGCTTGTAAATGACTAAACTTAGCATTTTGCTAGTAATGCCATAGTTGCTGAAAACTGAAAGCATCCAGAAACTTGTAACCAGATAGTATGTGTTGACAAGGCTTAGGAAAATCTCCAGTATTGGCTGCAACATTGTGCTAAAACTAAGCTATCCACAGTGCACAATTATCAGAAAAGAAACTAATCACTGACAGTACTCTCATATACCGACATTTGGACCAGGTCCAGAGTCATGTATGCACCTCAGTTTAGACCAATATAGATGGATGCATGAAACAAACTCTAGCAATACTGAAGCACTTTTATAATAACCTACTTTCAGCTGCTCCGTTATTCCCAAAACAATCCCAAAGGATTTCAGTCTTCTCTCAAGATCAAGTTGGTAATCTTTCTTTTGTTCGTGGCTCAAGAGTTGGCCATTTGTCTTGTAATCGGAAGGTTGCCGGTTTGAGCCCCGGCTCGGACAGTCAGTCGTTGTGTCCTTGGGCAAGACACTTTACCTGTTGCCTACTGGTGGTGGTCAGAGGGCCTGGTGGCACCAGTGTCCGGCAGCCTCGCCTCTGTCAGTGCGCCCCAGGGCACCAGTGTGTGCCCTGGGGCGAATGACTGAATGTAGTGTAAAGCGCTTTGGGGTCCTTGGGGACTAAGTAAAGCGCTATACAAATACAGGCCATTTACCATTTTGTTAGGCAAATGTGATAACCATTAGACTATGAAGTCATCCTAATCAAGGGAAAAAAGACAAGCTATGTTCTGGATTTTGAGGCTTCATCACAGCTGCTGCCATGCTACACTGATGACGCTAGAATATTACTTAAACATTAACAAACCTCCAAAAATCACACAAGCCATGTTATTTGGCAGCCAATTCCATTAAAAAATGCTCCAAGCAGCATGAAGTTCAGTGGCTCTAATTAGATGAAGTGAGGCCCTGTAACAGACAATCTGTTACAAAAGCCTGTGTTGGGACACCTGATAGATGAGTTATTAAAAATATAATGAAAAATAAATAAATCACCTTCTCTAGCAGTTATTAAAGGGGGGAAATCCACCAATAGAGACCAAAATCAATATGCTTAATTCCTCAACGTTTTAGCACTTCATATTCTCAGTCACAGATGTTGCCAAAAAATGGATGCGTTTACCATTTATGGAAAGCCATATATAAATTCTAGAGGTCCCTCTACATCTACGCATCAATCTTTACATTGATACAGAGTTTAGATTAGAGGGGATCGATGTATGACTATGGTTCTGAAGTAATTAAATGCAGTTAAAAGCTCATTCTAATTAGCCCCTTGTCTGTATCCACATATGTAAAAGTATCCATATGATACAATGTTTAAAAAAAATATAACTTAGCAGGTGCATCACAGAATTTAAGTGAGGGGTTTGTGTGACATACAAATATTTCTCCCAAAAAAAAGTTGCTCATATATTTGAGTGTATGCAGCCCAGTTGTGCTTAGTCCACCTCCACATGCCCATTTCTGAACCCGAAACAAAGCCCTGCAACTTTTTAACTTTTGATTGTTGCTATGCTCTGAACTTGTAACAGACACTCCGTGACATTTTCTGTTACTCTGCAGACCAGAGCGCTTTCTCCATTCCACAACCAATCATGAAAATCACCAACAGCTGCAACCCCAGTGCGCACAGCTCTACAAGTACCACCAGCTGCCAACGGCTCGAGCTTGGCCACTTTGCTCTTAATTGGGCCTTCACTGGGATCCCCGCAGTACGTAATTTGCGCCCCCCCCCCAAAAAAAAGAAAAAAAAAAAATCCGTCAACTGCTGATACTCCTTTCCCGAAACTGCGGGGCTGCTTGCTACCCTTATTTGTGGCTTTTTCTCTCCGTGTTAACGCACTGTGTCCACGCTTTTCAGCCTACCCACCCCCTTTCCCCAGTCCGCTTCCACTTTATGAATAAATAAATAAATTACGAAGCTCGATGGGGGTGGAGATGACAGGAGAAAATCCCAACAGTCTAAGTAAAGGAGAAATCAGGACGACAAGGGTTTACAATTTGAATGGCTGCGGGTCTTCAGGGCTAAATTAAATGACCGTGGGGCTAATTGGGCATCAACGAGCAGCGTTGAACCCAACGGGCAGCGTTGAACCCAACGAGCAGCGTTGAACCCAACGAGCAGCGTTGAACCCAACGAGCAGCGTTGAACCCAACGAGCAGCGTTGAACCCAACGAGCAGCGTTGAACCCAACGAGCAGCGTTGAACCCAACGAGCAGCGTTGAACCCAACGGGGCCACCCCCCTCCCTGTAGTTTCCAATAATTAATAAAGCTAAAATAATGCAGACTCAGATTCATTTAAAGCACGTATTTCTCATTTTGTCCCCTTAAGAAAGACGCAGTTTGAGAGCTTTCCTCGATTAGAAGCGGCAGGGGTTGAGTGGCCCCAAGGTGCAGCCAAGCACGGGCTTTTCTTCAAGGAGCAGCCAAGACAGGTGTGCAGCTCCGTTTAAGGTTAGCTAACCTCACCGCACAGGGTGCGCGTTTCGCCGGTACGGTGACTTCAAATGCACACACACGCACACACAAAAGAAATGGTGGCTCGGGACTTACCGTGAACGTTAACGAAGCGTTGGAGACATATTAGCATCGGCAGCAGAAGGATCCCCTGTGTGGACGTGACCATCTCTGGCAGTGCGAAAAAAAAAAAAAAAAACCGTGCGGCTGCTAGCTGGGCTACCTCAACACTGCCCGTCTTCCCTGTCGCGCGCTGGCCTGCTTTGCTCTCTGATTTTGCCGGTTCACACGCAAGCCACACATGCGCACACAAAGAATGAGTAGAGCAGAAGGGCCGCTTTTGCCTGCCGACGCCACACAGACCTGAGTCCGGCCGAGGGGAGAGGAGCGCTGAGAATAAGACACGGAGGGGTTCGCCGCGCACACCAAGCGTCTTCTGATCTCCTTCTACAACCACGAGCCCGCACGGCTCCCGTCCTGTCCTATCAAGGCTAAATCCATTTCCCCAAATTGACGGTAACGAGCGGAGACCGGTCAGGTCGTTAGGTATTGGTGCCACAGCTGAGGAGGATTTTTTTTTCCTCCTTCAATACGTCTTCGGCACACGTTAACCCTTCGCTATCCGCATGAAGTAATAAAACAATAAAGCACATTTTATATGGCAGGAAACACTTCAAAGAAACTGGTAACTGTGTATCATAACACAGCAGTTCTATCTTAAATCAAAGATAAATTAAGACACAGTTGGCTTCTTCAATATCCATTATGAATATATTTTTGCATATACTTCAAACATAAGGGCAGTAACTATGACTGCGATACTTATATACAGCAAACGTGCTGTATATAAGCTTTGTTTTCACACCTAAAGAGGTAAAATTATTATTGTTCTTATTATTAATGGTAAGTGAAATCTGTGAAACAGCATAATCAAAATTGCACATCCTCATTGGTGTGACATGGCATAGGTGGGTGGGGCTAGCATCAAACATGAAGAAACTATAGGCTGAGATGTCATCAGCCTGAGTAGTGTCTGTCATGTGGCTGTATCAAAGATAAAGGGCAAATAACTTATGGAAACACGAGTTTGATCTACTCCTGCAAGAAAAGCAGTAAAAATAAATAAATAAATAAAATTAATGTGAGGTTATGATGTGTCTGTTTATGAATCTAGTTCTCATTTACATTGATTTTAGAAGATTGGGCATGTGTTAAATGGTCTTGTACTAGAATAGAATATGTTATGTTTATGTTATGTATTCTCTAGATCAGGGATGTCAAACTGTAGGGCACATACTTTTATCTTTAATGGACTACAACAATGGAGCTCCACTTCATCATTAAGAAAATCTATTAAAAAATTTAGGTCTCGTTTTCCAAAGCCATCCAGGGGAGCCAGATTACTGTCTTTGTTGAGACAATTCCTTCCCTTGTGCCTTATGTTTGACACTCCTGGTCCAGATTACTGGCTCCAATATGTTGCACAGACTCTAAATCAACAAGTTAATGTTCATGCGCCAGCTGAATTCTGTGAGCAAGATATTGCTAATTCCACACCACGCCTTGCTAATTTGGAGGATGGGTGATCACAAGTAGTGCATCTGTTTTTTCTTTTTCTTTTTATCCAGCCGTCCATCTTCTCCCACGTCACATGGCCAGCAGTCTAAGCAGAAATTCCCAGACCTCCTTCTCCTCAGCCACCACCTCCAGCTCTTCTGGTGGGACCCTGAGGCGTTTACAACAAATCACATAATCTCTTATGTCTCAAGAGACATAATCTCCTGAGTGTTAGATAGACCTAACACTCAGACAAGGCCAAAATGCATAGGAAGTTTTCGGGAAGCATCATTATAGGATCTGCTGAACCCTACCATCTTTATTAGTCCACTAAAATCAGGTGGTTGTAGCTAATGTAGTAATGCATTTGAAATCCTTTGCCTTCACCAGTGAGGGTGGCAACACTTTCCAGCTCACTCCACTGAAAAAGGAGTTGTTGGGATCATGAGGAAAGCAGCTTTATACTATTAATACTATTATAGATTCATTTTTAAACCTTCAACGATGTCAAAGTACAAGGATAAAACAAATTCTGCTATACATGTCCTAAACCTAGACAAAAATGTGTCTTGTGTTGGGCTATTTTTTGTGTCCTGTTTTCCATTTTCAGTCTGATTTCATTAAGCTACCTATCCTTTGGATTACTGATAGGGTTATAATACACCTTTTTAGTGGAAAAGTCACAGCGCTCAGTTAAAGAAGCAATGGAAGATTTTTTCAGCTACCAACCCCCACGCGCCGCTGTTGTTTCTCAGTTTAATAGTGCACTTGCACTGCAAAACAAACACAAAAGATCATAAAAGGACTCCAAAGACACATAAAAGGCTCTATTCGTCTGATAGACTTAAAATAATGACAAAGAGACAAAAAAGAAAAGCAAAACAACTCCTCCCTAAAAATCTAAATGATTACATTAAGTAACTATAAACGCAGATAAAAGAAGCAATACAACTAATGACTGCAGTATATTACTTTCAGTCTATACCTTCACAGACATATTTCAGTCTATATATTATCCTGATTAGAAGAAGAAAAAAAGACCTGGGCGATTTTTTTAAATGTATTGATAGGTTCACAAAACAGCAGCCTTGTATTGTGTTCAATATATTTTTCGACTTTATTACCAGTGCAATGAAGTCTGCGGGATATACTCGTGTCCTTTCAGTAAGAAATCACTGCACCATTTGTTTAACAGCGGCCCCTGTGGCCACATGTGGTAATTACAGAACAATGGCGCAAAAAACAAAAAATCCCAGTATTTCTTTTCAGGACTCTAGCTCTTCCTTGACTATTTTCAAAGAGGAAATAAGGCTTTATCTATAAAACGTGATACATTTGAAGATTATATAAGTACTGAATCCAAATACCCAAATAAGAAAAGCAGGAGTTATCCCATTTACACATTTTTATATGTGGAATGCCTGGAGATCAAATGTGTTATCATTTCAGCACAGAAAGACTGAAATCACCTAGCACCTCAAGAGCACCATGTGTTGGTTTCACTGCCAGTCATTTTGTAAGAGCATATGTTTCACTTTCCAAATACTGAATAACAAATTTCTGAGCCAAATTCAGCTGTAGGTTTTTTTCCTCTCTTAGTCTGATACTATTTCTCCCCCATTTTGATCACCAGGCCTTTGGGATTTCCACAGGGCTGCGTGGTGCCAGGTTTTATAAACTCTCAGAGTTCTTATCACAGGATTGAACCTCATTCTTAGTGATGGCTTTTGGCTGCTGATACACCCCTAGGCTCACTCTGTCCCAGATTTTCACGTCCCCTAAACACACACACACACACACACACACACACACACACACACACACACACACACATACAGAAACCACTGTATAATTCTGTAACAGGAAGTGCTTCTCTCTGATTGTGTCTTTCTTGTATTGTCGTGTTCAGAATTTTTGGAAGGAATCTCAGGAGAAAGGTTTGTCTTTTAAAAAGGATTTACTTTGCTTTTGGCAGTTGAAATTACAAGTTTACACAATGCTGTGGACCTCTACATGAACCAACAGCATGTAGCACAAAAAGGATGACCCTCAAGTGTACAACATTATATAGTGAGACAAAAACATAGATTATAGCGGCTATCTTCCTCCCGCACAGACGTGGCAGTCTTGGCCGAAGCATCCTCTTATTTCCGTGACTTCGTCTGGTATCTGCTTCCTCGTCTGTAAGAGACAGAAAAGCAAAACACCTCTCTGCCTAGCCTTGATAATCTAATGTTATTATCCATTGTTCTTCTAGTGATTCAAAGTTGGTTTAGAATATCATGTTCGGGACTCTCTGACCTAGAGAATTATTCTAGTCACAATCTATGTGTGTAAGCATGTTTGCAGTTACCCCTCTGCACTCTAAGCCCTTTAATACAATATATCAGTCCGGACAGTCACGCCGAACGAAGCTTATGACCTTCAGAAGACTGAGTGCCAACTTATTATGAGCACATTTGCAGTATATGTATGAAAATGATTATAACCACTTATTTTGGTAAAAGAAATCAAACATTTTCAATCCCAACAGCAGTCATCTCCAAACATCCACAGACTGATTACAGATCTAAAGGTTTAGAAATCTAGTCTGGTATGAGATACAACCTTCGAAGTAGTATTTTCCACTTGTACAAAATGCTCAGAATTTATTTGCCAGCTTGATGCATATTTCTTAAAATGAATCATTTTGAATGCTTATCAGACACAATAGCATTTCACAACAGTTTACAATACTGCACAATACAATTTCACAACTCAGGATACAATGATCATCTTTCTTTTACTCTGCTTAGTGGTGATTGGCAGGTTAGTTATAAAAAAAAGACCATTGCTATTGATCTTAATCTGCTGTAATGCCTGTTTCTATCTATTTGATTTACCAGCTAGTGCAACTGTAGATAATTTTGCAGAAGACAATGGAAGGTGCACACTGGTATTTCTACTGTGTCAACATAATAGCTGCAGTGAAATGAATGTGATTGTTTCTTGTGCAACCCTAACTTTAAAGGAGTATTATGACATTTTGGAAATGCACCAGAGTTGCATCTGTGCACCAAATAATATGTAAAAAAAAAAAAAAAGGTTTTAGAGGGATTTACATGTTTCCAATCTTGGAGATTGATTTCCTGGAGAGGAAACCTCACAGTGACAGCAGGTTTTCTTTCACAAGAATAATCTTTATAATATTGTCTTAAATTACCCTCTATTTCTCTTACTTAAAGTATGTATTAAACTGAGATTACACACAGTTATTTATGTGTTATCGTCATCCGTTCCCTACCTGAGTAATGTTGCTGACCATGTCCATACCTTTATGACCACAGTGTGCCCATCCTCTGATGGTTGCTTCCAGCAGGATAACACACCATGTCGCAAAAGCTGGTTTCTTGAACATGAGTTCACTGTACTCAAATGGCCTCCTCAGTCACCATATTTCAATCCAATAGCGCACTTTTGGGATGTGGCAGAACCAGAGATCCACATCATGAATGTGACAAATCTGCAGTAACTGCGTGATGCTGTCATATCGAAATAAACCAAAATATCTGAGGAATGCTTCTAGCATCTTGTTGAATCTATGCCATGAATAATTAAGGGAGTCCTGAAAGCAAAATGAGGTCCAAATCAAATCCATGATGAGGATATGTCTGTGTCAAGCATCAGATAGCTTAGTAAGCTAAAATCACTTCCTGGTGACCAAAAGAAATCAGTACACTCCAGCCATTTATCCTGTGTAAAAAACCCCGCAGGTGAAAAAAATATGTCAGCATCAGTAAGATAACAAATGCTTTCTTTAGCCCATATTTATAGGATATAATCAGTAGTGTCAGATGGAAAGATTGGCTGCATATTCTGAAATAAAACTGAGTTGTACTATGTACTATATTTTTTTTTTAAAAATGTGTTATCCTAAGAATCCCATTTCACAAGAAAGTCTGGCCCAACTAACTAAACAATCTTCTAAATATCTCTAACCATGCATATAAACCAGTGTACATGGAC